GCAGAAGTTTCAAGGGTGTGATACCCCCTTTCAGCCACTAGATGGCAGCAGCAGAAGTTTCCAGACAAAGGGAAACGCTCTACCTTGGTTTAATATATAACAGACCTCTGGCTTTAAGCTTTTAGCATTGGTCTGTTATTTAAACCCCAGTTTTAAACGGCGACTCGATCTGATATATCGAGTTTTCAGGTTTTGCCGTGCAGGATTCAAACCTCGCATTCACACAAACTGCACCATTTCTACGCCACTCAGGAATAAACACCTGCAGATCCGCGCCAAACTGCTCTATTTTACGTCACGCAGGACTTTCGTCTACCTGTCGATCCACGTTTACGTTTTGTATATAACTTTCCTAACATAGTAAAATATGCATTGTATATTCCATTTAAACTATAAAAACACTGTGAAACGCCTACAGACAATCCTAAAGTTTTAGCATATCCAATTACAGACAGGCGACTTTCATCGTCTGCTTACCTTATTTGCAAAGTTGCAGAGTCCTGCTGATTGTCTGAGATGTTTGAAAGCGTCTGAATTCTTCCTCAGCTTCGTTATAGACGTCGGGTCACCATTTTGTTAGAGATTTGGAGGGATAACTGGTCCGCTTTTCAAATCTCCGCGCGTTCCTATGAAGCTGGTTATAATACAGGAAGGAATCCATAGCTACAAAGTAACCGTTAACAATAATCTACTTTAATGGCAATATGACAATGCAATACAATCATTACAATACAACATGATATATTACAGTTATATTGCAATGCTTAAGGAGTAATGCCGGCTTACTCCTGCTCTAGTCCGCATACTACAGAGCTACTTTCACCCGAGGGCAGCATGTGAAGAAGAGGCCGAACGCCAGGGATCCACCGGATATATACCAGAGTAAGAAGGAGGGGTTTGGTGTTAGGTCAGCTGGTCATCTTTTCAGGTCATCTCATTGGGAGACGCAACGCAGCAGGAAACGCAGCAGGAAACCAAACAGGCTCACTTTCCAACAAAAGGTCTCAAGGCCTGCATACCTACACCTCCCCCACAGAGCCATAAAACCCTGTTTACTCCAACCAGCCCAGAATGTTTATAGCCATTTGTAGTCCTTACATTTATGAAAGGATAAAACAGAGAAATCAATATAAAACACAAACACAGGTATTGTTTGAACAGTATTCACTTAACTGCTACTATTGATAAGCACCAGAGAAACCCAAGGGACCTCTCTTAATATCACAACCACTGTAGCTCGTTCTAAGTTGAATGCAAATCAGGACATGCTCTCACCTTCCCCCATCTTCCTTTGTCCTCAAAAACACATGTCAACAGGCCCCAAATGCAGCTCACAGTTTTACCCAAATTATTCCCATTTTAAGCTTATCCATAGTTTGCTAACATGAATAAATACAAATATAACTCTACAGTATCTATCTACAGATAAATATTAAGCCTGACAAAGTACTTAATGTCTAATATATTGCTTTCCTGCAATGTTAACTATGTTGAAGCACTTATTTTAACTGATATTATACATATGAATTATACTCTCATGTATGTAGATAGAATAAGAAATGTGCAGAATATGACAGTTTAATGGTGGAGGTATACACACATATTGATAGATGTTGAGGAACCTGTGACCCAAGATTTTCATTCATTTTATACACCGTAGTTGTGTATATGATATGTCAATAAACCTTTGAAAATCTTGAAAGAGATGTGCAAAATAGCCATAATATACAGTCTTTAATTAACTATTAGTAGAGAATAATGAGTAATGAATATACTTTATTACTCGTTTCCATTCATGTCAATTGCAGATAAATGTTTAGTCTTCTCAAGCACCAACTATCAAATATCTCTCCTGATTGTTGGCACTTGACAATCACCTTACCTGAATTTTACTCAGGTGTAACTAAAGTCTGATTTAAGGGTTGTTTATATTTCACATCATTAATCAGAATCTGCAAAGTAACTCAAATAAATGTAGTGGAGTAAAAATACCAGGTTAACCTCTGAATTGTAGTAGATTAGAATTACAAAGTAACAATGAGCTGTCATGTGGGTATATATTAATACTGCGCATTATGGACACAAGCGATTTTCACCCATTTATTAATTATATGTTTTACATTTGATAACACCAATGTGTTTAATACTGGCAACTTCTAATTGTGGGAAAAACGAAAACGTTCAGTAGAGACGTCCCATAGAACATTTTGCGAAACACAATAGCCAGCATGTGTAGTTCTGGGGGGGGTGGGCGTTCGATTCCAGTTTTGGATAGTCTGGCGTGGTTTCGTTACATTTCAAACAGCTGTTTGACGCTCGGCGTAACCTTGGCGCACTGCCACTCCAACATCCAATCCCAGAGCTTGAAGATTAATCACGGGGACTGTAGTCCTAAACGATAGCTGGGGATTATGGGTAGTGTAGTGTCTTCGGCCATCCTAAACTCCTAGAGACCTACGTCTGTTTCCGGTTATTTTTATTTTGAAATTCAGTTCCTGACGGACGCCAAAAAAGCCCGAGATTATGGAATTAAACCAATAAATAAAAGCAAGGATAATTGTGTGTTATTGGTGAGTAAATAAAAGTGTGTTATTTTGAAAAGAATAACAAATTAGAAGGAAAAAAAGATTTAAAAAATACAGATTTCAGTATCCTGAGGCTCTGAGCCCCATTTATTTTCCTCACAGACGGCAACAAAAGTCAGAAATTATACGATTTAAAATAAAAGCAATAATTGTGGCTTGATATTGAGTAAGAACATGTTTTTATGAACCATGCAGCTTCCGGTCTTCCACGACCCGACCGGAGAAAAAGACGCGCTGCAGGCACGAAACACATTACCAGTAGAAATACATTGCTTTTAAAATCGTGCTGTGCAACACGAAAAAAAGGGGAAAATCGTGTTGGTGAACACGAATCAATAGATTAAAAATCGTGTTGGTGAACACGAAATGCCATGAGACTGGGTTGATAATACATGACCTTTCTCTTTCTCAACTCGCTACTCGGAGGGAAGTCGCTGTCATATGTCTTTGGCAGAGCGACGCTTGCTTTACAAATAAGGCAAATAACCTTTGAATGTGACATCACAAACAAATATTCTTCCTCCCATTCTGGGTGGAAATGGTATGTTTTTTGCTTTTTGCTCGGTCCCGCACTCATTTTGTTGTTTGTCTCTTTAACTTAATTTTTTTATTTTTTTATTAATGACTCGCGATCTACCAGCATTGCCCCCGCGGTCGACGTACTGGGCACCTCTGCTGTAGATGCTCCACGAAGCCGTCCCTTAAATGGTTAGGGAGCTTGCTAAGGAGCCGATCGACATGGCCAGTCGACATCACTTCCATCCCGTTGGGTCCCTCCAGCGACGTCAGCATACCTACTAATAGGTCAACGCTTAGCGCGAAGCTCTGGAATGCTTTGGTATCTCCAGCTTTGAGGTCAGGAGAGTTCAGGAGAGTTCAGTATAGTTGCGATCTCGCTTTGTACGAGCTGGTGTGGCTGTCCATATTGCCGCTGTAAGGCCTGCATGGCGGCCGTGTAAGGCTGGGCGTAATGCCTGCAGGACTGGGCTATTAACTGGGCCTCAGCCAGAACTAGTTGTTCCATGAGAACACGGTACTTGTAATGTTCAGACAGTTCAGTGTGGTCACTGAGTAAGTGGTCCAGCGCCATCTTTAGGTCAGTAAATTCTCTCTCGCTGTCACGCACCAATTTAGGCAGTTTAGGTACTGGGACTGGCTGTCTAGGAGGCAGGGGGGCACTTGACCCGTACAGTGACTGCTGTGGTTGAACGGAATACTGGACTGGCAGGGCTGGTACAGGCTGCTGCATTAATGGAGCAGGAGTGGAAGGCACTAGTTGATAGGCTGGCTGAGCCGATGGGCCAGGCTGCAGTACGCCAATTTTAGATGACCCTGCTGGTACTGCGGCTGCTGGTACTGCGGCTGCTGGTACTGCGGCTGCTGGTACTGCGGCTGTTGGTACGCATACTGTGCCGGAAGGACAGGCAGAGACTGATACGCTGCCTGCTGGGGGACATCAGACTGTGTATAAGGTGAAGGCGCTACAGACCAGTTGTGTGGCACGTAGGAAGATTGCTGAGGCATAACCACTGGATGTTGGGTAGCTAGTAGCTGGTGAGCCGGGTACAGCGCTGGTGCGTACTGCGGTTGATATGGTGGTTGGACAGGTGCAGCCGGAACATATTGGTTTGCTGCGGATGTCGTCGTCATAAACTGATATGGGATTTGTGTTGCCGCCTGCATGCTGCCATACATGGTTGCCACAGGAGGAGGTACAGGCTGGTATGGCTGGTGAGCAGGCTGGTACCCTGTAGTTGTCAGCAGTTGTTGGCCAACGTGACCGGCTGCCTGCATCCCTTGGACGATAGGTGACGACATGACCATGCTTCTAGCCAGAAGTGCTGTTGTCTTAGAAACAGCTCCCAACAACCGTGCAGATGTGACTGTTGGTGGTAGAGATTGAGTCAATATACTTCTCTCCTGATTCTGACTCGGCATGAAGGCTTGAGACTGGAATGTCGCTGTAGTCGTGCACAGCAATGTTGTCGTTGGCAGCTTACCCTGATGATTGATGGATAACGGCTGCTGCTGTAAGGTGCGGTTATCTGCTTGTGAGTCCAACCAGTTTGAGTGGGTTGGAGGTGTATGTGACGAGAGGGGGCCAGATCCGTTCTCACTGAGGCTGTATTCTGACGATTGGTGACTGTAGCAGCTCGGCTCTGAGGGAGATGGCAGTCGAGGCCTCACACACATATTCTGCAGGTCAGGCATGCTGCTAGCATAAGGTGCCATGTCCCACAAATTTGCCTTATTTGCTGCTCCTGGCAAGGAGTAAGAGGGAGGGCGTCCAATTGCAGTGTGTAGCTGGTCACTCTCAGCTGCTAACCCGGTTTGCAGGCTAAGTGACCGCAGCTGACGCACACTGTCATATTGGAGGGGGGTAGGATTAGGCAAGAGAGACTGTGGTAAGCTGACCTTATAGCCTTGCAGGTGTGTTGGAAGCTGTCGCTGTCTTCCTCCATGAGCTCCAATCGTAGCTGTTTCTGTTTCCTGTACATCCATGGCGCTGTCGTGGGTGAAGCTTTCCGGCTCGAAGGACCAATATTGGGGAATCTTATGTTGTGGGATGTTTGCGCCGGAGCCGCTTCATCCAGAAATAGCACTCCGTTTAGAGAGTTCACACGGAGACAAGGAATACAGTCTTTGGACTTTAATTAGCTTGAATGCTTCTTACAACAGCTATAGCAGTATTGAATCATTAATGAATGTAGAATGATTGCATCATTTTCTTCACTGACGCACATGGTAAACAAACCGCTCGAGGACCCGCAGCTGCCCACTCTAGCTGTCCCCAAATGTGCCCGACCAAAAACACAAACGATACAACGCAGACTAAAGAAAACAAGAGGAATTTACAACACCCTGTTTATTTGGAATATCATACAATTTTGAAACCAATAAGTCTTCCAACTCATATGACCAAATAGGCCGATTGTTCAGGCCCTTATTACGACCAAATATGTTGTTTGTTCAAGCGCTTAAAGAGCCTGTGACAGCATCCCAACAACTGTTGTGCAATGAAATATTGGGCTACTAGTAATCTCGAACCGTCAATTTAAAAAAGAAAAAGCGATACCGTTCCGTTAAATATCAATAATTTCGAACATCGCGGGGAAATTCCTTCGACTCATTTTGAAGTTTGGGGGGAAGCCGGAAGTGACGTCAATGCGGGAACGCTTCACTGTGCGGCGAGAGAGCCAAACACGGACAAAGTGTGTTGTCATGCGTAGAAATGGTGAATTACTGAGTTTAGGCACGTTAATAACGTTTTAATGAAGTTGACTACAGTATATTCATATTTGTCAGTGCTTTCATGTCAATTTGGCGAACATAAACATAAATGATCGTGGTGAAGATGATGATTACATTAGGATTAAAAATCGGTAGTGAGAGCTACTGAATTTCCTCCCGTAGGATGTGATATAAAAACAAATCGATTATTTTTGTAGTTGTAAACTCAAGTGGATGAAACTACATTTATTAGTGCTTTCATGTCAATTCGGCGAACATATGATACATTAAATGATCGTGAGAATGATGATTAAAAATCGTTTGTTTGAGCCGGTCTGCATTTCCTGATGAGAAAACAAACCGATGCTTTTTGTAGTTGTAGTACACCAACATGGATTAAACGTGTGGTTTGTTACCACAATGTTGGGGAAATTAATGGATAAAATGCACGGATTATTATTATTATTATTCCCACTCCGATCGGGACACTAGGTCCACCGTTTCCCCGCAGCGAGGCTCCCCCTGTTGACAGTTTACGTGGGCTGGGTGCAGTGGCGGACTGGCCATCGGGACGAATCCCGATGGGCCGGTACCGAAGTGGGCCGGTCGGATAAGTCACTAGCACATCCCCCATAGGCGGCGCGTGAGGCTCAGGTTTGGGAGGACTAAATAACTTTTGTTACGCCTCCGGCGTCTATAGAAAAGAGATCAACTCAGTGTGCGGAGTTTAAATCTCTCAAGTCATATTACAGCAGGGCCGGACTGGGACAATAAATCAGGCCGGGAATTATACACCCAACCAGGCCACTACCAGTTTTATTTTGTGTAATTTTCCTGGATTTATTTGTCAATATTTACAGCGTTGCTGCCCATAGTGATAGCCATAAACTTTAAAACTACCCCAGAATAAACATATGGACATGGATTACAATTTTTTTTTAAAAGTGTAAATCTATTTAGGAACCTATCCATGTGAACATATTTTAAGTGGAGGTGGACCTCAAATCCTCTAGGGGGGTCGGGGGGCATGCTCCCCGCGGAAGATTTTTTTTTTAAATGTTGGACTTAAATGCATCAATCTGGTGCACTTTGAGGGGGAAATAAAGAGACTACACCCATATGAAACAGAACTGTATACATTTAAATAATCATAAAATCATAAGAACATGGCCATAACCAATAACATACCATATCCAATATGAAAAAACATTGAAACTTGTTTATTTATTTGTTTTTGGTTCATTTATAGTTAGCATGGCATAGTGTGTCTGCTCCTGAACCAGCCTCACCTGTCTCCCTCCTCTCCCCCTGCTCCTCTTTGAGGCAGCAGCAAAGACTAGTTTTAGCTCTCAACAAGTTTTTTAAGTTTATCCTACCTTTTTTCACCTAGTTAACTTTTTTTTGTTGTATTATTCATGCATATTGTACTAATCACTCCCCCTTCAAATGGAAATATGTGTTTACATAAATGGTGACCAAACCGTTTGAGACCCACAGTGAACTTAGACTAAGTTAACTATCTAAACACTCAGAGAGTCCTTTACCTCACCTGAGTTGTAGTTATCAGTCTCTCAGTCTGACAGGAGAGGACTCTCCTCCACCTTGTTGACAGCTCATTCCGTTAGCGCCACTAGCTAGCACCGGATGCTAACAACAACAATACACGTAACCAGTGCACGCGCTTTCTCTCTCGCTTGCTCGCGCCACACATACACACCCTCCCGAGCTTGAATGACACGAGACCAATCGAGGGCATTAGTGCATGATCTGTATGAAAGTGGCCATGTCGACAGGCCACATCATGTAGACCGCCAGTCACCCTCTGTGAGGCAGAGTCAGACCCACATTTGCGCAGCGTTGCGTTCACAATACATACAAAAAATTCCTCAAGCCAGCAGGCCACTTAACAGGCCAGGCCATCGGGAAACCTCCCGGTCCTCCCGATGGCCAGTCCGGGCCTGTATTACAGGATAAAGGAAATACAGTTTAAACTGCCGTATGCAGAGAAGACGCCGACGTGTCGCACTTATCATTCATATTACATCATCAATCAGATCATCGATCATATAATATCATAATATATCATATATTTCCTTATCTGAGTCAGCTTCTCCAGCCGTATCTAGCCGTGCAACACTCACAGTGTCACATACTGTATGCAGAAGTATTATTTTAAGCAACACATTATGTTGACGAAACACTCGAGTCAAATGTAATTAAAGTCAGATCCACTCGTGTCTTAGACGTGAACGCGCTCTCAGCTGGTGAGAGAAACCCTGGCTTGATTTACCGAGTTGATAACCAGCGTCGTAGGACCGCTTAGCGAGATCTCGTTTATTAGTTTGTTGTTGTTAGTTTGTTTGTTACTCAAACATATCCAGGGTCTGTTGAACTGGCTTCGTAGTACAGGGCACAGGTGGCTAGCAGCGCTAATGTCAAAGACACAGACATTATACATTATATTTGTATTTTACCAGGATGCAGTGACACAAATATTTACATATTTACATTTACTATCTACAGCACCCGCCGCCCCTGACATCCCCCACTCCCCCCGTTGACAATTTACTAGCGGTACCGAAGTGGGCCGGTCGAGAGTCCCGGGATGATTTTTAGTCCCAGTCCACCACTGGCTACATGACCGTATGATCGCCCATATTGACGCACCTAATTCCTAAACTTCTAACAGATACAACATAAAGCGATCCTTCAGCCTCATATGAGCTCTCTCAGACACGTTCAACATTAAACTGTCATCGCTGTCATCGCTTGCTGCTGTGTGCGCCATCGTGCGTTTACATGCAGATGCTGGGATCCTGAACGGTGCAGCTGGAGCGCTGTGCCCGCAATGACGTCACACATCATTTGGCGGGACTTGAAGAATCCCAGAGAAGATCCAGAATATGGTCAACATTGAAGGGCAGATTAATGGTTATCAAAGTACAAATATCCAAAATCAGTTCAGTAACGGTTTTCAAGGGGACAATATTTACTCAAATTGATGGGTTTGGATGATGGGGGAAACTCGTGTCACAGGCTCTTTAATACGTCCTATAATTACGTTTTAAAGTGTTCGCCCTCTAGTGCTCCCGTTGAATGCAAACGTTACTACGGTGGCCCTGAAGTGCAAGACACCACAGCATTTCAGAAAACACAACAGCATTTCAGAAAACACAACAGCATTTCAGAAAACACCACAGCATTTCAGAAAACACCACAGCATTTCAGAAAACACAACAGCATTTCAGAAAACACAACAGCATTTCAGAAAACACAACAGCATTTCAGAAAACACAACAGCATTTCAGAAAACACTACAACATTTCAGAAAACACAACAGCATTTCAGAAACACAACAGCATTTCAGAAAACACAACAGCATTTCAGAAAACACCACAGCATTTCAGAAAACACAACAGCATTTCAGAAAACACAACAGCATTTCAGAAAACACCACAGCATTTCAGAAAACACAACAGCATTTCAGAAAACACTACAACATTTCAGAAAACACTACAACATTTCAGAAAACACTACAACATTTCAGAAAACGCCGCAGCATTTCACATTGGACGGAAAGGGTATTCCTTTAGGGAGAACACTTCTTGTTTGTGATTGGACAGAGCCAGCCAGAGAAGTACTGCTGTGATTGGTTGTTTTTGCTGCCAGTCAAGAAATGACGCTTCGTGATTGGCCCAACACATCAGCCGTTAGCTGTTAGCACACACTCAGAGCTCACAGCTCCTCATATCTGTTCAGAAACTGGACAAAAGTTAAACATATACAAAACACAGACTGTCTATGTCATGGCGAATACAGTCGCTGCTTTATTTATGTCTGTATGACGTTGTTGTGAGCGTGGACGGAGCAGCTATAGGTTAGTTTAGCTCAGAGCCCTATCTCTCTAGGGCTCTGGTTTAGCTGATCGATCCGATCCGATTCCGATAGGATTTACATGGAGATACGCCCCCGCCCCCTCTCCAGCGTCTTGTTTGAATGACAGGAGTAAACACAGAATTAATGCTTTATTAATTCATGGTTTTTAAGGGGCTTATCTCCATGTAAATACTATGGTAGACCACCCAATATTCGCATCGCTCTAATCGCTCGAGTTTCACCGCGGCTGTCAGCTGTGTTTGCTCCTGTCATTCAAACAAGAGGCGCTGAGAGGGGGCGGGAAGTATCTCCATGTAAATCAAATGGGAGATACCAACTACAACAAAATGAACATATTTGACCGTGATTTAATTGTAATACATGTTTCAAAGTGATGCCGAAGCAACTACATACTGATAACGGTTAGTAAAAACCATGAATTAACGCTTTGACAAGTCTGCAGACAAGACGGCAGGCGGAAAGCTTTTAAAATGCGTGTTTTCTGAATGGAATCGGATCCATCAGGCTAAACTAACCTGTAGCTGCTCCGTCCACACTCACAACAACGTCATACAGACATAAATAAAGCAGCGACTGTATTCGCCATGACATAGACAGT